AATCAGCAACTATTTATCCCGATAGAACGATAAAAATCGAATGGATTTAGGGACTTACACGGATTAATTCGGGACAATCGATCTGATGCAACAAATTGTCTAAACGACGCGTCCTTACTTACACTTCACACCGTATGAAGTGAGGCGCGGGTATCGCGGGGGGAGGGGTCCACGAAAAATTAATTGCCCGCGCATTTCCGGTGAGAAAATCAGAAAATATAGTTTATAAATTGATTAAATCGACTGACCAACGTGTCTCCGTGAATTTTATACCAATTTTAAAAATGAATAACTACCTGTGCTGATGGAATGATAAAAATCGATTGGATTGTTGTCAGGGGTTCACAGGGGTGAATCCACGGCAATTGTTTATAGCCAAAACGACGCGTCATTGTTTAAACTTTAGTCCGTATGCTGTAGTCATGGCGCGGTTATCGCTCGGGCGTCCACGAAAAATTAATTGTCCTCAAATTTTCGGCGTAATAATCGTAAATATAATCTAAAAATATATTAAATCGAATGATTAAACATCTAAAATCAATGTGCAATGGGGAATCGATAGAAAAACACATAAATAGACCGCTGATTATCTGCAGTCGTAAATCCCTGAGATTTTTCTCCACGGTGAGTGCGTCATAGGCTTTCACTGACATTATTCCAAATAATATTTCTATTGATATGCAATATTTTTGACTTTATCTCCATGTTCATCGATTCATTTCGATTTATTATTGAGGGATGAGGAACATTGAATCACTGGTTACCTACGAGGCATTTCATAATCCCAATGGGAAAATTATTTGTAGATTTAGCCGAGGGCTGGAGTGCAGTGTGCAATGGGCATTTACGGTGTGCAATAAACCTCTTGGCATCTGGCAGTACCTGTCCTCTTCAGGTTTTGAAGGAGTGGAGGTAGTAGCCCTTAGGTAGCCCCCTTGGTATACCTGGGTGTGAGGTAGCAGTCAAGGTGGAATCAGTGGGGGTGGGCTGTCGAAGGCCCTGGTGGAAAATAAAGAGAAGGTTTACAACCGGCCGACTCTCATGCCGGCGTCGAGAGGTGCCAGCACAACAGACCATCAGAACTTTGCTCTTTAGTTTGCTCGCGGCGTTTACCACGCGCGGCTGTTCACAGAGCCAGAGCGTCGTCATTTACTTAGTTTAATTTTTCTCACCGGTTTATTTACATCACGTTGGGGAAGATTTCGGAAAATTCGTCGACGAGGGAGAGAAGCCAGCTGATTTGCACATGTGAGTTTTTATTTTTTTAGGTATTTCGGTTGTCTTGGTGGTGATTTTTATCTGACACTGGCGAAATTCATTTTTCCCTCCATTTTTCATTGATGAAATTGAAAAATGAATTTTTTCGGTGTTCATTAAATTGTCTCAATTTGATAAAAGTCATGTTGTCATGTGTCATGTTCAGCGAGATTTTGCAAATTTTTTATTGAATAGAAATTTCGGCAGATATGTCTCTTGAAGTTTTGATATTTTGATTATTTAGGGGATTGATTTTTTTATGGCAATTGTAGGGGAAATGAATTAATGTTGA